AAAAATGTCTGTATTTTTCTAGCAGGTTTTTTTTTGAAGAACAGCCACAACAGCATGTCACAGGACAAACTCAGTGAAAGCTACACAAGGGTAAAACCTGGCCCACTGATACTGAGTTTATTTGAAACTCCCCTCCTGCACACAGTCATCTGAGGCATTTGGGTTTGCAGTTTTGCGCTACCACACCTGTGTTAGTTACCTGGCGAACACATCTTTTACATTCCACATGTTGTCTGGCTCTCAGTCCACACACAGATGCATGCACGTATATTCACACTGCAGTGAGCACACATGATCAAACAGAACTGATACTGTGCAACAAAACACAGTAGAAATGTTGAGGAAAAGGCTATGTAGAAAAGACTTTTAGACAACTGTGTTCACCTACGTGTGTGTAAGTGAAAACAGGCAACTTTGTCTCAACACTAAAAGAATTTGTTGATTAAAAGAAGATAACCAATATGCAAAAAATGTGTGTTGTATGCATAAAATGAATGTGTTACCTATGTGTTTGGTATTCCATAGCATATGTGAGATAAAATTCAATATGCAATTAAGTGAAATTGTTTACTATATTTGGTTAATTCTTCCCATTCTTTCATACCTTAGTGTTCAATGATAGGGATTCAAGTCTGCGACATCTGTTCTTGACTTACAGTCTGTGGCTTTTAGAGAGTTACAAATGTTCATTTGCAAAAGCTACGTGGAAATATGTATCACATGTAATATAAACGTTGTGCAGTATCCACGCTGTGTCAGCTCTGTTAACTAGATGCTGACACTAGATTTATTGGAAGATGAGACTTGAAAATTAACCAAAACAAAAATACAGGCCTTCTCTCCAAGCACTTGGAGGTCCTTGTGCCCTCATAAAAGAACATTTAAATGGACTACATACTTATGGAATTTTGGTATAATGATTTTTTCCAGAGAAAACTTTGTTTCTAACAATGAAGAATGTGGTGGAATATGTTCCTTCCATGTTTTATTTCTTCTTAGACAATTTTTTCTTCTTTAATGAACTATTTACTGGAGATGCCATTTTTTACAATAGACATATTGATAATTTCAAATGCAAATTTTCGCAAAATCATCTTGATTTTTCTGAAATGGAAACTAGTTGAAATATATTGTGAACATTTTCCTCCAGTGGTTTCAAGTCTATCTAAACACAGGCTATGCTCACTATTATTCCCTACTGCCAATATTTGATACCATAGTTAAGGTTATATCTTTAAAGCTGATAGTGATTGTTCTGTGAGTTAGCAGCAGAGTATTATTGCTGTTGATACAATACATTCATAATTTATTGCGTTGCTATATTGCTTTTATGATTGTCTCTATGAACTATCTTCAGGATTTAGTTCAGTTTTAATCAGAGAAGCAAAGCTAGGCAACCCCTGTCTTATATTTCTATTTGAAAAACAAAAAGTCAGCAGAAAAACTTTTACATAGAAGAAAATAAAACTGGGTGAAGAATCTACAGAAGCAAGCTTTACCTTAAGTGAGCTCATCCCCCTTGCATCCTTTTACAAGCAGCAGAAAGAGGCTCCTTCTGACAGTAATTCAGACAGTAATTCAGAGGATTAATTTTTCTAGAGAAAAGTTAGGCCTGTGGAAATGACTTTCAATTTTCTCTATTAGAAACAAGTTCTGCTTTGCTCCAGACTACAGTATTCAGCACTGGTAAAACACAAGACAGAGAATTATAGTGTTTGGCATCATCAGATAGTGCTTGTCTAATTCATTGCAGGAAGGGGAGGACATATATCCTATTGTCCTTTTTTTTTTTTTAATAGGGAAAGTACTTGAACCCATTGTTGCCATTAACTTGATGCAACCCTAGATATAGAAAGTGATTCTATATTTTGTATACTGAATATATAATCCCATTCTCATTTCTCACTGTCAAAGATATCTAGTGATCTCATGTGGAAAGTTCAGAGTGCTGTGTCACGGTCAGCATATTTGGTTTCTTTGGAACTAGGCAACCCCAGCTTACTCTATTCTAAATAACAACATTTCTTATTAATAGGGTTCTTTTTAGAGTATTGATAGTACTTGGCAGGTATGGAGGACTGCGTGTGCTAGATGATGGCCTAGTTAATTGTGGAATTTGATTCTCCTTTATTTCATGAGCTGACTTGCAAATTCTTTCTCTTTTTATCAGAGAAGCTTTTTGCAAGCACAAGAAACCAAACTGGGAAGGAGCCTGGGATTTTTGTTCTTAGGTCTGGTAACAATCTCATGTCTTGCAAAGATCCCACGGCTGTCCTGACTTGAGGAGTGTTTGAAAAGATCTGTTAATGCACTTTATTAAAACCATCTAATTTGAAGACAAGACCACAAGACTCGACCCAAAGTTCTTTGAAGGTATCTGGAGAGCTTTCAGTGATTTCACCGCTGTGAAGAAGGCTACTAGACCCTTTGAGAGGGAAACAGTTTTCAATTAGTATGAAAATATCTGTGGTTCTGTTTAAAACCTCTCTTCCAGCCTCTCCTTTACTTTATCTTGCCAATTCTATGCTCGCTTCTCTCCTGACCGCTGTAGTGACCAAATTGGTTCTTAAACTCAAACTGCAAGCTCCTTTTGGTGTTTTTCAAAGCTTCGGGATACCGTTCCTTTCTCCTTCTAACAATTTTAGAATGAGCAGCCAGATCCAGAAGTCCTTTTTCCTCTCCATGTGCCAGGAGTTTCAGAGAGGAGAAGGGAAGAGGATGAGCAGAGGAGCCTTCCTCCACAGTGGTAGAGGAGGGTTCCTTTCTCAGGCACTTCCAAACATGTGCCCCGTTCTGCAGCCTGGCGCGATGTTTATAAATGGATTTTCTGAGTTCGTGACCTATTTCAAAGCAAGTGCTGGATGCCAACACATTTTGTCCTGGCTCATCTGTGAACAGTGGGCACCTGTTGCACAGAAGGTTCTTCACCCAGGCCTCTCCAGCGGGTAAATCTAAGCTTCTATCTGGATAAGAAAAGGTCTTGAATAAAAAGGAACAGTCCTGGGTGAATCAGATAGAAACTTAGATGATATTCAGATAAGATCTTTGGGGTTTTTTTAATTATTATTTTCTGAACCTTCAAGCATGTTTATTCAAGTGACATTGTTAAAAGGCAGCTTGTAGAAAACCCAGTTAGGATTCCATAACTTTTAAGTGCCTCACATGGCCAGATTTCATTTTACTTTTGGCAAAATATGGAAAAAAGGAAGGCCGATAGCTTTAAAATTTAATTTTGAGTACATTTAATTAGATGGCAATTAGATTTTCCTATAACCATTCAGGTTCGGGGCAAAATTTTACAAAGCCAACATAACATGAAAGCATTACCCGCTTCTTAAAGTGCAAAACAATGCATGAGAATAACCACCAGGTGTGTGTCTAAACTGTCACGCTGTTAAGAGGAATCTGTGTATAAAGTTTTTTTTCTTGACCATGAAAGTCAAAGGATTCACATGTACCAAAGTATGTTTCTTAAACATACATAGAGTCTTTTCCATGTCAGTTCCAGAGGCTGCAGTCTGCAAGAGTAGTGTATGGATTGGGGATGCTGTTGGGCTAGTGATTCCAAATTGTAAGCTGAAATTAGCTCAAATTTCTTCTAAATTTCAGAGGTTTTGCACACAGTGGGGGAGATTGGGCAGTGCTTAAGAGAACAGAGAGCAAGATACATGAGATCTGTGAAACAGCAAGAGGTGAGATTTGATTATCTGATCATGGATCATTGTATTTTTACCACCTTGGTGATTTAGCACCATGCTCTCCTCCTCCTCTCAGCTTCCCAGCATTCACCAATAGCCAAAAGAAATTTTCAGTTTGGTGCACAAAAATCTTGAAAGGACTTGGATGAGATTCCTGTTAGGGCAGAAAGAGGCTTTGGAAATGTGCTGTCATCCCATCAGCCCACAGAAACACTCCAAAATGCCATATTCTGTGGGAGAGAATGGAAAGTATCTAGAGCACCAAATGTGGCAGCTGGAAACGATTTAAAAAAATACACAAGATGGGTAGGCCAGTAATGTTATGAGGGGTAAGAGAGGCAGCTGGGAGATTTAAAAGGGAAGGCCTGAGAGCAGCTGAAAGATGCCAGCAGTCTGTTAGCAAGAGTGTCTGAGAGCTAAGTGGCTGTGTGTGATGAGAAAACATGCCAAAATGGTAAGAGAAACAGCTGGAGAAAAACAAAATTTCAAAGCCTCTGAAACAGGGATGGATATGCAAATTCTGCCAACACTATTGAATGAGTAAATTAATTTTTTTTTTCTCTCTGCTTTCATAAGTTCCTTTTGTTTTCACAAATGACCTCTTTCTGCAGAGTATGCAAGAATCCTTTTCTGCTGCCTCCTCGTCCTCTTGATCTTTTGGGTTTTGGTTATTTCCTCCACAGAAAATAGGTATCTGAACAATACTATTTCACTTGTTAATAGTCTCGTAAGCCATTTTGTTTATTTTTCTATTTCCTGACCTTATCAAGACTTTCCCTGCTTGTCATTCTGAATGTGAAAACCCCTCAGTGGAATACCATTCTCTGTGAAGAAAATGCGCTGGTAGCAGTTGATTTAAATAGTTCCAAATCTCATTCTGGGTAGGACCTATAAGATTTAGATGGCTTTGTATTCCAGAGGGCTATCTGGAGGAGTTGGCAGGCTTGAAGGGTCTGATGAACAGTCTCTAGAATTTGGCAGGGTCTAAAACAAGTTTGTAATAAGAACGTGGTGACTTTGGAAAGTAAACTATAAAAGTGCACAGTGGGGCAGATTTTCAAGGCTTTATGCATTACAATTGCACCTGTATTTTTGCATGTATTTTATTATACATAGAGCTTATAATTTACTTGCATCTGATCACATATTTGAATCTAGTCTGGGTGTGTGCATTGGTGATGTAAAGACATATGCCAATATCTGTATACAGTAGCATGTTCTTTACCTTTGAAATTGTGGCTCTGCTGTTTTTCAGCTGTGAAAGCAAGAGACAGAATGTGTGTACTTTTTTTTTTTCCATAGATCATAAGGAACAAAGAGCTTATGTGAAAAGAAGAGTACAGGAGAAGATCTTAATAGATTCTGTCCCATCAGAAACTGAAATACAGCAACATGAAAAGAGAAAACATGCTGTCTAGCTTCTCTGAAGCTGTTTGCTAATGACCTCCAATGAACTAGAAGATGTTAGGGAGCGTAGTCTCAGCTTGAAGCCTGAGAGAAGAAAACATAGGCAGAGAGAAGGATGCAAAGAAAGTGAAAGAGAGAATGGAGATAGTCAATAATTATTTTCCAACAACAAAAAAACCCTAATCAGGCAGCAAATTTTTGATAGCTTTCATGCTGCCTGACCTACAATGTTATGTCTAGGCCAACAGGAAAAAGAGCAGCAGTTTTGGAGGGCATGAAAGTAGACTCACAGAACAATAAAATAATAGAGCAAATTGAAAAGGGGAGAAGGTATAAAAATGCAAATTAAAATATATTAAATTGAGCATTTTATAGAAGATATCTGAATGATTGCCACTTATTATTGGTGAAATATAACTCGTTATGTAGCATATACTAAATATTTTAATAAAGAAAATAATAGGGTCAGGTCAAAAGATTTTCAATCCAATCTGTTAAAATACCAAATGAGACAGAGAGAGCTAGAACATTTGCCAGGGAAAGTTATGCATGTCTGGCATAGGGAAAAATACTTGGAATGAGTGAGAAGAAATGTTCATGGTGTAAATTAATTGTTTTCAAAGAAAGCATTTAAATTAACCTTTCAGATACCTGAAAGCCTTTGAGTGTGTATTTTAAAAGAAGATCTTTTGTTTTGGAAGCCCTTGACATTATATTCCCTAACAGGAACAATTAACCAAAAGCATAAATTTACAAGAAATTTTACATATAAGATCTAGTGTTTCACTTTTTATGCTTAAGTAAATTTCTCTCTTGGTATAAGAAATTTCAGCTTCCCTTCCTCATTTTCTCCATGATTAGCTGCAGACTAGGCAACTTATTATTCTACATTCTGCTGTAAATATAGTTTTTTAAAAAAACTATTTTTAGTTTTTTAAAAAAATGAGTTTATGAGAAATGAGTGCAGGTGCACTTATCTGAAAAGAAGTGAGATAGTGGATTTGAGAAATAATGGGGGAGGCACTGTCCAACTGTTTTTTCAATGCAGTGCTTTTGATAGTTGAAATAGCTCTGCCTTCTACATGTCCTGCTTTCCAGCCTGTAGGTTAAGAAGGTCTTTGCCAGTGGCTTTGCACCACCTTGTGACTTAGGAGAATTTCCCCCCAAGAAGGCTGTCCGGGTTGATGTAGCTGTAGCCCTTGAGAAAGAAGGAAGATTTCAGTTGCAGAAGGAAGAACGGTTTGCTCAGTTACATTTTTAATTAAAATGAGGCAGTGGTGGAGAGACTGAATTTGCAGGACCTCCTACAGCAGGAGCATGAGCCTGTAAATCCAGACAAGCTGCTATGAAGTGTACAAACTAGAGATGCGCCTAGGTGGCTCCATTTAATGGAGTGTAATACTTCAGTTTCGTAGTTGGCATGGTTCCCCCACATGCTGCTCTTTGAGTGATCTTACTCCATATTATTTCTCAAAAAATCCCAAGGTGGGGGTGCTTTCTACCACTTCTCAAGAATGAGAACAGCATGAGAGATTTCACTACTGATAATTTTCTTCAGACTCTGGGGAATAAGCTGAGCATCACTTTAATATTTCTTTTTCCCCTCATCTCCTCTACACCAAGTCATTATCAGAAGAGGACCCAAAGTTCATCACAAACATGAACATGTACCTACCCTTTTCTTCTTTCTAGCACATCACATTGAACAGCAGAATTATCCTTCCACTAAACACACACAGGTGTTGGAGTGTGTTCCCATACTACAAATTTTGGAGCAAGTCAATGCCTGGTAGAGCAAAGTGCTGTTTGGAGGGTTTACATGCAGCTTGCTCTGCTCAACAAGGCCTTCGTGAGTTGTTCTCTGGGGTAGTCAAATGGTCTTGCAAACACAGGTAATCCTCTAAATACCAGGATCTGTGAACAGTGCAGTAAAATAGTTATTTTCTTGAGATCATTGCTGGTTTAGGAATTAAAAGTCAGTTAGTATCATTAAATCTTTGCCTGTATGACTGATAGAACCTGAGACTTTGCAGGTAACCCTGCCTAGATTTAATAACATCCCACTGAGAAACAATTTGTTTTCATGTTGGCATATTTATGACTTTCTCCTTAGGAGTCACCAAATGGGCAATAACTACCCTTGTTCTCAGCCGGTTAAGACCTGGAATATCTGCTCTTAGTTTTCAAACTCCAAACAATCGTACCATGCTCATAAGCACATTAAATACCACAGTAAATCTCAAGAAACCATGAAAATTTTTTGATTTTTGCAAGTAATAGCACTTTCACCACCACTGAGCAGACTGTACTTCTGACCCCTTTAGAAAAAACCTCTCTGGCCTTCAGCAATTCTCTCAGGGAATATTCATGCAGATCTTCTGTTTTCAGTCTGGGCCCTGGCTCCAGGCCCTGGGTATCGAGCTCATCTTGATTGCGCCCAAAGCTTGCTATTCTGTTCTCTCTGCAGCAACGGCTGTAGCAGTTAGCAACCAAGCTGTCCTGCTGAAACAAAATATCATTAATACAGTGCAGCTGCATTTCAGATAAACCATATCTTAAATGCAATAGAAGACAGAGTAGAGACAGTGCCTGCTTCTCCGTAATACTGCCATTCCCTGAGTTTAGGAAAGCCAGATTCCTTGAGGCTCCTCCACTCACTCTGTTTGTATCTCTGCCAACCTGTATTCTTGAAAACTGCTGGCAAGCGCCACTGCCATTGTCAGGATCAGACCAAGGCGCTGCATAAGGTTTGCATTATATTGAAGACAAGATACAAGATCTTTGAAGCCAGCTTCATTCTTTGAAGTTCCAGTTGGCACCAAGACTTTCTTCCTCAGAAGGTCACTACAGTGCTGCTTTGTTTGCCCTTTGCCTAGCCTTTATTAAGCTAAACCAATGCATTCACACAAGAAAGCCTTTCAACTGTGGTGTGCTCTTCTCAGGCACTCACTCAGCTGAGCTACTGCAGCCACGTCAGGGGCAGCTCCTTCCTGACACAAGCCCTCTGAAGGCTGACGGGCACGCTTCTGTCTTCACACTCAGCCGCTGCTCTCGGAGCTTTACATTAGATTCTGATTTCTTTTGGCAAGATCTGAGGTGTTGTTAGAGTAGACAGGAAAATTGCTGCTCTTGATAAGGTCAGAGGAAAACCAGTTTCAAGATACAGTAGTGTAAGTGGAACTGGTGACATTTACAGAAGAATAAAGCCTGGAGATCTTTGTACTCTCTTTTACATGAAAAACAGTATAAATTGTGATGGCACTCAGGTTAGTGAAAGGATGCACTTTACAGAAAATGAGAAAAGAGTTTAATTCATAAAGGAGTTTGCTAACAGAAAAAAGCTAATACTGATGAAAATCAGGAAAGAATAATGCATAAACTTGCATACTGTGATACCTAAGGCTTGGTTTGTGAAGACCACATTTTCCTTAAATAGTGTTCATAACATATTCATGCCAAGGAATGCGCACTACTCCATAACCGTATCTTGAAAAAGAAACTGTGGACATTCCTTATTGTACTGATGTGCTACTTACCATCTTCCAAGGCTAGGAAGAGAGCATACTGCGCAAAGAGAGCAGCCCACTTTTAAGGTCCTTTGTTGCTAGTGTGATGAAGAAATTACATTATAATTGAGACTGACCGTCACTTAAAAAAGCTTTGGACATACCTTGAAAAAAACCTTGTGCTTCAACTTGGTTATGCTTGTGTTGTTCCTCTTGCCCATATTTACTTATCTGCATAAAACATTCCCAAGTTGTCCAACTATCCTCAGTGAAAACAAGATTTGCCTCTACACTTTAATTATGTCTATCTTCATTCAGAAATATTACTAGTGAACAAATTAGGAGATGAATTCCAGCAGTGTGAACAAATAGCCAGGGAATCCCAATTTTTGGCAACTGTATGGCATCCACAGCCTTGAGCAAGTAATCAGTCCTCCCTTTGAAGCAGTTGGAAAATACACTGATGTGTTTCTGTTGAAAACCATTCAATTGTAGTGGTTCTTGTCAGGAAAAAATCAGAACATTCTGCTCTGGCACTTTCTAAGTGCAGGGATATTTTGTTTTTAAACAATTTATGATATAAAAAAATTTTTTTTTAAATTATCAAAACACAAAATGTTGAAAAAAAATACCTGATTTTTTTTCTGGGAGGGCATTTTGTTTACTGCAGTGTTTTAAGCTTTAGCTTATTTTTGTCATCACTACAAATCTGGACAAAAAAAAACAGTAAAAGTTTTTCACAGGGTGGCAAAATCCCTTACTGGCAGCGCCGCATAAAAAGGTGTCCTGTTCTTCAAGTGTGTGGTAAAGATTGATTCATGTCCTTTGCAAGTGCAGTGACAAAACTCTTTTAACAGCTGAATGACAGATGATGGATTCACTGAGCTTTGCTTATGATCTACCTCTGTCAGTTTTGTTTTTTTGACATCTTTTGCTCTGGTTCAAATGGAATCGGCGAATTCAGAAGAAGGAGCGTTGTGGATAGGAAGAGCTCTTTTGTAAAGATTTTTCCAGATTTCATAAAGTTTGAGGTGAAAGACTGTGGGGTTTTCTTAATGTAACTGAAACATTTTACCCAGTTTAAGTCTTAAGTAGGAAGTGAGTGGGCACCTGCAAGGGCCCTTGCCCTGTATAGAAGTGGGGAGCACATCACCCACAATAGCCACATCTAGAGGGGGGAGAAGAAGAACACTTGTGAAGTCTGGTCCAAAGATTAACATGAGGGTACTGAGCTAAAGAGTATATATATCTCAGAGACCTCCCACCGATTAATTTCGATATCTGTATCTTTTGACTTCTAGATGCTTGGTGATGAAACATGCTTTGGTGGGTTCCTCCCTAATCCCAGACTGCTTATGTAAAAAATAATGATTGTGTAAGCTAGCCCAAATTCATGGCTTATCTCAGCAAAGTTGGCACATGGAACTGGGAAACGTTCCAGAGCTAATTTTCTTTATGTTGAGAAAAGCTGATAATTGTTCTATGTGCACATCTGCATGTTTGAACACAGTCGTAGTTTTCTCCTTACTCTTTGACACTAGGTCAAGCTTATTTTTTCTTATAATTTTAGACTGGGCTTTGAAGGAAAAAAGAATCTGCAAACCAACCCCCAAGGCCCAATCATTGGTCATAGTGAGCCTTTTGTAAACTCACACATAACCATGCTATTTTCAAAGTCCTTAAAAATCTTTAGTTGCTGCTACTGTAAGGTGTTTTCTTGGTTTTGCTAAATGTAGTATATAACAATATAATGAATATGTTCCTTGGGATCCTTATGTCAGATAATAGATGGCATGAATGTAGTAAATTAGCTTAAAAGAGCATTTCCTCATTGTTTTCAGGGATATACAAAGAACAGCTGGATGTAAACTTCTAGCATGCATCTTGTAATATAGTCTTGCTAATCAATAGGCTGTATTATGTACTCCTTATGGTAATATTAAATGTAGTGTAAGGCTGAGTGGTTTTCCTTTTCTTGCATTAT